GATAGATAGATAGATAGATAGATAGATAGATAGATAGGAGAAATGTATGTTCTAATGCAATAAAGAGAGTTTAAGAGTTTCTTAAAACTACTTCGAGTTGAGGTTTATTGTGTTTTCTGGTCACGTCAAGAATGAATATATATATATATATATATAGATAGATAGATAGATAGATAGATAGATAGATAGATAGATAGATAGATAGGAGAAATGTATGTTCTAATGCAATAAAGAGAGTTTAAGAGTTTCTTAAAACTACTTCGAGTTGAGGTTTATTGTGTTTTCTGGTCACGTCAAGAATGAATATATATATATATATATATATATATATATGTAGATAGATATATATATATATATGTAGATAGATAGATAGATAGATAGATAGATAGATAGATAGATAGTTATGAGAAATGTATGTTCTAATGCAATAAAGAGAGTTTAAGAGTTTCTAAAAACAGTTTCGAGCCGACGTTTATTGTGTTTTCTGGTCATCAGTCTGACATATTTCTGTTCAGATTTAGGAGAACAGACTCCTCCTGAACAGCCGAGGTCCTTTTTTTGCCAGCTAATGGACTCGGTTTGAGCTGGAGCTTCATACTGGAGAGCAGCGGGTCCATTTGGGTTTCCGTGGATTCAGAGGTGGGAGTTTAAGAAGTTCAGGGCAGGTAAGCGGAGAAGTAAGGGACCCGCTCCACCACACAGCAACTGACCGAGGCACAGGGCGTCTCCAGGCCCTGAACAGAGGGGGGTCAGCATAAGGAAATGTTCAACTGGATACCGATACTCAGGAGAATATTAGATACCAGTTTTTATACCACTAGGATAAAAACAAAGAGCTCAAAATTTAACTGAATTTTGACAGGTTAGTGTCTTTGGTTACAAACTGACCTGTTACTGATGTTATGGTGGCCCACATTAATGACCCTAACACTAACCCTAACCCTAACCCTAACCCTAACCCTGATCCTAAACCTAACCCTAATCCTGACCCTAAAACTAAACCTGACCCTAAACCTAACCCTAAACCTGATCCAAACCCTAAACCTGTTCTTAACCCTAAGCCTAACCCTGATCCTAAACCTAACCCCGACCCTAAAACCAACCCTGGTCCTAACCCTAAACCTAACCCTGATCCTAACCCTAACCCTAATCCTTATCCTAACCCTGATCCTAACCCTAGTCCTGATCCTAACCCTGATCCTAACCCTAAACCTGTTCCTAACCCTAAACCTAACCCTGATTGTGAGAAATAAATATTTTTGGGTTAAACTTGTTTGGACTTATTGTCCAAACCTATTTAACATCCACTATTTTAACATAATATTATGGAGAGAGTTGAATTCAGTGTTCCCAGGATTAATTTCACTAATTTTAAATTAATGTCTATATTGCCATGAAGCAATTAGGATTTTCTTGCCTGGGATCTTCCTATTGGTGACCTAATCAAAATGGCCGACTTGGATGTGGGCGGAGTTGGATATTGGTTATTATTAGCCATTAGCCGCAGCTAGCAATTCAAGGCTAACGTCACGTTAATGATCATAAACAACGTAAATAAATAAATGGGGGGGAGTGGTATCAATGCTTTTGGAAATGAGTATCGTATCCGGATACGACGTTTTAGTATCTTTACTTTTTTAAGTATCGATACTTTTGTCAACCCTACTCGTGGCAAAAGGTATGTCATTGTCATTGTCACTTATTTTAGACCTCTAAATAGACATATAGTTACATATGTATTTATTTATTTGTGTTTGTGTGGAATTTCGTATATATACACAACGTTTTACTATACTTTTGTGAGTATCAGTACTTTTTGGAGAATCTGTACTTTTTGGGGTATCTGTACTTTTTTGGTATCTTTACTTTTTTGGGTATCGATACTTTTTGGAGTATCTGTACTTTTTTGAGTATCTGTACTTTTTTGGTAGTGGTACTTTTTTGAGTAACGGTACTTTTTTGGTAGCGATACTTTTTTGGGTACCGGTACTCTTTTGAGTATCCATACTTTTTTGAGTATCGATACTTTTTTGGGTATCGATACTTTTTTGAGTATCGGTACTTTTTAGGGTATCGATACTTTTGTGAGTATCGATACTTTTTTGAGTATCGCTACTTTTTTGGGTATCGGTACTTTTTTGGGTATCGATACTTTTTTGGGTATTGATACTTTTTTAAGTAACGGTACTTTTTTGGGTAACGGTACTTTTTTGGGTAACGGTACTTTTTTGGTATCTATACTTTTTTGAGTATCGGTACTTTTTAGGGTATCGGTACTTTTTTCTTTTTTAGTATCGGTACTTTTTTGGGTATTGATACTTTTTAGAGTATCGGTACTTTTTTGAGTATCGATACTTTTTAGGGTATCGATACTTTTTTGGGTATCGATACTTTTTTTGGTATCTATACTTTTTAGAGTATCGGTACTTTTTAGAGTATCGATACTTTTTTGAGTAACGCTATTTTTTAGAGTATCCATACTTTTTAGACTAGTATCCATACTTTTTAGACTAGTATC